AACTCTCCACGTCTCTCATCGACTTGAGATTCTCAACCTCCAAACTTCAAATCCAATGATCTATTATCGTTGTCTAGTTGAGTGAAGGGACTTGAAGAGGTTAACTGAAGTAGAAGAAAAAGTTCCTCTAGTTCCAGAGCTTATCTCATTAACTTCTTTCTAATTTTTCTTAAAACATGAACCAATGTGGTTCATATGTCTTAAAAAACAATCATATATATTCTTCTTTAAGTTAGATCAATCTAACTTTGTCTCAACTACCTCAGAGACAACTTGACTCTCAAGATTTCTTAACCTCCAGAACTCTAAAACAACAACAATAACAATAAAATAACAATCAATTGTATAATTAAATCATTTAATTAGTAAATTAAGTTTAAAAAAATCCAATTTACAGTGCTCCTTAACAAAATTGTACGTCTCAGGCTCGAATTTTGGTTTTGGGTATAGAATAGACTCAAGGTTCAAATTTTGGTATTTAGTATATGAAATAGATTATGTTATAAGTGAGATATTTATCTTGTGTGATTGTTATTATTGTGACTCAAAACTTTTGCATTCACAATTTTAATGGAATAATTATTCTTCGCAATATGTTGCGCATGCATTTGACGATATATAGTTGTCAATATTTTGTATTTACGTTACTTAATAATTTTCCATAAATATGAATCAACTAATGATCAATCATTGAATTGAATTTGAAGTTCTTATAAACCACTATCGGTTCAGTGGTGTAAGTTGAAGTGGTGCATGTGAAATCATAAGTTTTAATATCAATGGGCTATTAAAAAAACATAAATAATAATAATAATAATAATAATAATAATAATAATAATAATAAAACAAATATACTAAAAGATCGGCCTAAGAATAAAAAATTTAAGAAGTTTGCAAAATGTTTTAGATTATAACATTGTTGATTGACTTATTGTCGTTGTATTTTAAAAAAATATCTTTTAAATTAAAATAAGTACAAAATTTCTTACAAATAAAAAATTAATTGTTACTTCATTGCAATAACTTATTTTGACAAATAATATGTAATTTAAAATTTAGGTATATCTCAATAGCTAGATAACATTCCAACAAATGTTAAAATTTGATATAAATAATTAAAAAGATAATATCAAATAATTCAATAATATACTAAACTATTAAGATTGATCTAATGGTTCAAAGTTGAAATATATGTAAGGATGACAAAGTGAACCACTATCTGTAGACTAGATTGACCTACCAAAAATTAAATTTTACCTACATCTAATCAAATCCATTAGAACTTACAATAATTTTATCTATATCACACATTTATAGATAGGTGTCTTTTAGGATTTGACCCGACTATACTAAATAACTACAAGTACATATACAATACACATTCAACACAATGTGTAGCCCATAACATAGTTTTATTTTGGAATAAAGGTAAAAAATGATTAAAAAAAAGAAAAAATTGTATTGAATTTATCACTTTACTCTATTAATTTTCTGTTTTTTGTTACTAAACATACATTAAGATGGAGTTGTTGATATAATTACACACTCATTCTTTGATGTGTATCTTGTAAAACAAATAATTTTTATTCCACAAAAATATAATGAATATTTATTTCTTTGTGCCTCTTAAAAAAATTTATGGATCAGTCATTGAGTACAAATCTTTGGATTTTACTTGTAATAAACATCTATAGATAAAAGTATTTTTTTTTTAGTTTTTATTACTTGCAATCAATCACTCATGTTTTTGTATGTAAAAATATATGTAGGTCTAAGTTGTTTTTATTGTAGTGAGTACCTTAGATTCACCCGGAAAAAAAATCATAAAATAAATAAATAAGAGATTTGTTTATTATACAGGGTGGTACGCGTGTATCAATTATTTTTTGTTTTTTATACTGAAAATACATGTTTTCACCCCTAAATTGTGAGACTAATCCTAAATAAAAATAGTTATAACCAATATTTAAAAAATTTAAATTAATTTATCCAAATAAAATATTTAAAAAATAAAATAAAAATAAAAATAAAAATAATTCAAACTTTAAAAATTTTAAATTTCTTAGCCTTCAACTTTGAATTTCTAAAAATATCGTTCAAACACATGATTAACCTTAAACAATTATATATACAATGGTCTTCATCTTTTAGCCTTTTCCCCACTACCTCTGCTTGATCCCGATCAGTAATAATCTTTAACAAACCACTAAACAATAACCACTTGTATATATGAAACAATCGATCAATTATGCACAAGCATTGTGTGTACATGTCTTTTATTGAGCAGCTGGCACGCATAATTAGTTAATTATTTCACAATGAATGTTGTTCAGAACACAAAAGACAATGTGAAAGAAGAATATATGAAATTGTACAAAGGTGACCAGTTGCTGAATGCTGATGGACATGCATCGTGTCTTGCACACACAACGCGCAGGCATCAGCTTTTAAGTCGCTACAAGTTATAACTAAATATAGAAAAAAAAACCTAAATCCTTCCAACCTATATTTATGTCTATTGTTAACTCTTGTCACACACCAGTCATATTAAATTTCGAACATGTTTTTTCCTTTACTTAATTTTTGTATTAAAACTTTACACGACTCTCTTTCAACAAGAATGAGTATGTTTCTCCAATTTTGTTCCTTGCTTTTATTTTCTCAAAAAGGAAAGCTCATTGTGTATGTATATTTGAATGCGAGTTGCGAAATTAACTTAACATGATAATTACTCTTTAATTTATATAATTATTTTAGTCATATTATTATTAGATATAAAATTATTTTTAACATATTTTTTCATGTTATATACTAAGCATTCAAATAAAAAACTTAAGATTATAAAGATGATTGCAATAAGGATTAAATCTAAATTCATTTAATTTCTTTCCATCCAATCATTAAGTTAACCTAGTGGTTAATTATTAAAATAAATTTAAATACCATTTTAATAGAAGTAGATTCTAAGTCTAAAACAATCTTATTGTAATATTAAGGTGAGAAATATATTTTAACTATTTAAATTTATAGAGTAATAATATTTATACATATTTTTTTATCAATTTCTATATGAAGAAAAAATATAATATAAGATTGAAAGGATGAGAACATGTGTAAAAAGATTAATATTCAAATTTATGATATCAATCACGACAAATGCACATGTTTGTTGTTTTTTTTTTTTGTTGAAAATCTAGAGTATCCTTGGAGAATTAATTAATATTGAGATTTATTTAAAGAAATTAATATCATCTCCTAAATTATATTATTTTATATAAAGAGAATCCAACTCTCGACCAATATTTGAAGAGTATAATTATCTGTAATTCATAACTCTTTATCAGATTTGGTGACAAATGCACGTGTTGCTGTTGGATTGTATGCTCGTCTAGAGAGGTTCACTACTTCTACTTTTGGATCTGATATAATTAGGGGTTTTAGTTTTATTAATTCAGTGGAAGAAAAAAAACGCATACTGATTATAAATTCCACGTGGAGAGTTTTCACGGGGAAATACATGACATGAATGTGTACAGGAACATGTCTAATCACTTTACAAATAGTACACCGCCATAGATAAGCAGAACCAAAAATGGACAAAAGTTAATTTCCAGCACCTGCTATTTCCATAGTCTTTTCGACGTCAAGATTAATCCATGTTAAACCTCTGTTGACTTATCATGTAATTAATTAATATATAATGCATTAACATTCAAAACTTCTTAATCCTGCTATGTGGGAATGTTTGTTTTAGATTTTGGAAGCGTCCAAAATGCACTTAATTCGTTGTCGTAACTCGTAATTCATTTTGAAAATAATTCCTTGTCTTAATTCATTTTGTCCAATAACTGTACGTGCTCAACTTTGAATGCAATTGATTTCTAGCTTCACCTAGTTTAAGTTTAAAGAAATAAAATATTATTTTTTTAAAGTTGAATTAATCATGCACTTATTCAACTGAGATTTAATTACCATATAAGTACTATATGTAAAACTAATATTTTATACTTTCTGCTAGTAGTTTTCATTTTAAAATAATTTTATAATATTACTTAAATAAAATCATTTTTAATAAATCTTAAGAAATGAATTTTAAATGCAATCTAATTTTTAATATTGTTATATAAAATTTTTCTATCAAAATTTATGTAATAAATTCTGGTTTAAAATATGATAGTTATTTTTTTTCCTATCCAAAATGTTAATCTTTGAGACATTGTTTAAAAGAATATTGGTAAAAACTAATTAAAATGACCCTAGATACACATTTTAATCTTTATTATCTCTAATTAATCACAGATTTGAATGTACAAGATTTGAACTCAATAAGCTTTGTTTAAGGAATTGAATTTATCAAGCTTAGTAAAAGAAGTATTGATAATCATGACAAGGTTAGTGAGAAAAATTAGAATAAGTGTATGAAAATTTTGATTCAATTCTTCTTTTTATCATATTGTAATATATCCTACTTATAATTTTTTATTTTTGAGCTCTTTAAAAAAGGAAGGAATTAGTGAAATAAAACCCTTTATGAATATTGGTTGTCATCCTAGTCCTTGTAACTCACATGCACACACATTGACATAGACATTGGATTGGCACAAATTCTAAGCTGGTCTCCGATCCCTATAAACCTTGCTCATAAACATTCATTCCAAAATTGTAAGCATTAATTTCTCGCCCCCCTCGTCCGCTACACAAAGCCACTTTTGTTAGAGAAGATGGGTCACTCCCACCCACTCATTCTCTCAATCATAACCCCCACACGCTTCACTCACACGCGCACACCAACATTTCCCATAATCCATCTTTTCTTCCTAAATCAAATACCACTAACCCCACTTCCCGACCACACCACACTACTCCCATCTTAACCTTAACCTTTCTTTTGTACACATCCTCTCTCTCTCTCTCACTATCTCTATCTCTATCTCTTCCCAAATTTTTATAAATAAAAAAAAAAAGAATTTTTTTTTCATAAAAATCCTTTTTTTTTTTTTTATATATTTATTTTCTCTCTTCCGCGTCTTCTGTAAATCGTTGATGATCATGTTCACTTTTCTTTCAGCCTAGTGATTCTCTCCCCCGTGATCTCCCTATAAATCCACCAAGCACACACTCAAAGGACACACTCACATATACATAAAAAAAATATAAAAAACCAAACATGTCAATGGAAATGATGGCAACCGAACGTGTTTGTTATGTTCACTGCAACTTCTGCAACACCATTCTAGCGGTACAATCACTCTCTCTCTCTCTCTTCCATATTTATTTTTTCCCATATCCTTCTAAGCTTTCTCTTGCGCCACGCCTTCCATCAGCTAATTTGGCAATTCGGTTTTTCTCTAATTTCTTTAATCGAGATCGTGAGATGATACAAGAGCCAAGAATAAAGGAAAAGCACTTCTGAGTACCCTTCAAAAAGCGAAATTCAGTTCATACCTAATCAGAATGCATGTATCTGTGTGTCTATATATATAAGTCCATGGAAACTAAACTACTTACCCCAATATATATTTATAAAGGTAACTTAATTCCCTTAGAAATAATCGAATCCATCACTTAAGTGAATTGATTTCATGACTTGGGTCAACAATTCCACTTCTATGTTATATTTTGTGAGAAGGTGTAACTGGGTTTTGCTCCCTAACGTCTACCATGATATGTGTGGTGCTAGTTTGGTTAGATGCAAAGATATATATGCAGCCAAAGTGGTAGCAGAAAATTATTAAGTAAATTAAAATTGAAACCCCTACCCCTATCCCTACCTAACAGCACAATTGTGAGAAATAGAGGAATTTTTATGAGAGAAGATGCTAAATTATAAATAAAATGCATACACAGGCACAGGCATGAGAGAGATCTATATACTAGGGCAATTCCCTAGTATTAGGGTTCCCCTCTTTTGTTTTACCTCTAAAATAAAAAAGAAATTGCAGAAGAATAGACAGCAAATCATGTATGCATATATGATTTCATTTTGTATACAAAGTCTACCGTTGTTTTAATTTATGAGTTTTTTTTTCTTGCTTGGTTTGTGTACTTGTGAGGTAAATTAACACAGCTCAGAAAATTAAATCTGAACACAACAAATCCATGTGATGGTACGCAGTGCAGTTTCTCTCTCCTCAGTGTTTGATCCCTTAATTGTCTTTCTGTGGTGATGAGGGTGAAGCATCGTCTTTTACTATATCGTATTATATATCATCAAGTATTTTCACGGTTTCAGCCTTGTTGCTTCGCTTAAGTACAGAGGCAGTGTCCTCTCTTTCTTTCTACAACAACTTGTGCTGATTCTGATCAAAATCAATTCATTTCAGCACCACCACAAGAAGTTATATCATATCATATCATAGCATGCTCTCTCTCCTTTGAACTTTCATCATAGCATGGCTGTTGAAATTAATTAATAAGTTGCCCCTTTTGAGAAAGCATTCATTCTCTTTATTTTCTCTCCTTCTTAAATGAGGATCTTAACATACACTAGTGCACAAAGGGCTAATTAAGGTGGTTCATGATGAATGATACATCACTCTCCACTAGAGGTTAACAATGGTGTGGTTGTGGAAGGCCTTGATGGTTTCCGTTCCAGTCAAGTCGTTTTCAGCCCTCTCTCTTTCCTCCACGCTATGAGCAACAATTTCTATCTTTTATCATCTTGCCTTGCAGTGTCAGCAAAAAGTGAAGCGCACCCACAAGAAGGGGACATTGTGAGAGAGTCCTGAATTTTAAATCACCCCATGTCAGGTTCTGCTGCTGCTATATGATGGATGTATTGAATGTGCCACACCACACTACACTCTCACCATAAAAGTAGACCTCACTCAGAATGAATGAGAAAAGATTGATGCACTCACTTCGCTCTCTAGCTTATTTATCATCTCATCTTTCTAATAACCTCTTTCTTCTGGCAGCAGCTAGCTATGCATTTTGTCTTTTTCTCTGCCCCATTTTCATTGCAATGCTGCATGGTGTGCTTTGGAAGCACCTTTCTTGGGAATGTGAAAGCTTCAGTTCTCTTATATATATATATATATGCATATATGTTAGCTTTTTTTGACAATATATGAAGCTCCATGCTCCATTTACATTTTTCATCTCTTGTTGGTCAACACAATTATGCGGCTTTTTCTGTTGTTTTTTTTTTTTTTTGGTTTTAATGGTTTAATGTATGTATCTAAGTCAAGAAGATGTTCTTCTACCATGGCTTTCTACTTTCCTGTGCAAATAATGATAATATTTGTGATGTATTTGAAAATGGGGTTTTGGTTTTGCAGGTTAGTGTTCCATACAGCAGTATGCTAACCATAGTGACTGTTAGATGTGGACATTGTGCCAATTTGCTATCAGTTAACATGGGAGCGTCACTTCAAGCATTTCCTCCTCAAGACCCTCAGGTATTTACATTTGATATCTCACACTCTTTTGGTCAATTCCCTCTTTCTGACGCTATCGGCAACTAGAATGATATAATATTATTTCTTTTTACTTTTTTTTAAAAGAAAAAGAAAAAAGCTTTGCAATCCTTGTAATGACTAATTGTGTGATCTTCTATTTAATCTGTTGGTAATTAAATCACAGAAACAGCACCTAAGCTTTGAAGAACCAAGCAGCAAGGAACTGGGATCATCTTCAAAATGTAACAAGATAGCGCCATTTGAGGCAGTTGAGCATGAACAACCTAGGATTCCTCCCATTCGTCGTGAGTCTCCTCACACTCCATTGATTAATTTCTCTCCTTTTGTTGTATTTATTTTTAGTATCATAAATTTGAAAGAACAAAGAGACAACTATATGGCTAGGTCAGTCTGAGGAACCTTTTAACATCAATCACAAGTTTTATTAATAAAGGATGAAAAAGACTCAAACTACTTACTCCACAAGTAGTAGCAGAAACGAATTAAATATAAGTAATAGCAGAGCAGAAGAAGCTCATGATTGAGGCCACTTGTCATAAAAATGAGTTTTTCCTTATTTTCCAAAGAGTCGGCGTCCATATGAGTATCCAATTTTTATTGTGCCCATTTGGGGCAACTTGTTTTCTCCATCAATTTTAATGGCCCCCTCTTAGATGGTGACCTTACGTAATAAAATTGACCCATCCTTAATTCATTGCTGTCATGCCATGCCCTAGAACTATAACTTGTATTTTGTATCTTATATCTTATATGCAATGCAATTATCCACGTGTAATTTCATTTTACAGTTACAGATTCCACTCACCATTATGTGGTAATTGATGATGGCAAAGGTAGCAGTAGTAGTAGACTAGTGGTAGTACTTCAGTTACATAGTGGTCGATTATCTCGCTTTACGACAAAATTGTTTCAGAAATAACCAAGAAAACCCAATGGACTCTTGGATAAAGAAGTGAATTTTAAATGCTATTTGAATGCTTGGAGCACATATTTGTATGGCCCTCAACTACCCAGTTCCACAGCTTTAGTCTGTCCAAAAATGTGGCCCTTTTTTGTGAAAATTCCCCCTGAATCTGATTTCTGTTGGTGAATCTGTGACGTGAGGTTTTTAGGTTACAAATGTACTGTAAATTTAAATTGATGATTTATTGTATATGTTATGTTCTAATATCATTTATTTAATATTCCAAACTAAATGATCTCATGATTATTCAACAGCTACAGAGAAGAGACATCGTGTTCCTTCAGCTTATAACCGGTTCATTAAGTAAGTAGTCTTGTTATTTCACTATTTTAAATATTCAACCTCCTTGCTTCCCCCTATCTTCTCTCTCTCTCTCTCTTAACAATCTTCCTATCTTATTTGGCATCATGGTAGGATTTAATATTCTAAGATCTAACATTATTATTAGAGATAATTACATAGATTTCCCTTAAAGTTACGTTAAATACATTTATACTTCTCTTGATTAAAAATTTACACTTTCCCTCTCCTGTCACCGTGTTTTGTTATTTTTACGACTATATATATAGTTCATACATAAAAATAAAAGAGACATCTGTAAGGTTAGAAAATAATGGATGTCAAAATCTTAAAAAATAAGAGTTTAGCTAAGAAATACGTACTGATAATATAAAAATTTATACACGGTCATATTAAAAATTTGAAATTATTTTTAATATGAATTTTAAAATAGTTATTATAAAATTAATAACTTATTATAGATGACAATTTATAATTAAATAATAATGTAAAAATATTTATAATAAATGCTTTTTCTAAGAATACTATACAAAGTAATATTAGAGGTGATTGTAATTTTTACTCGATAAAGGTGCAAGCATTATTAACATTAATCTTTCAAGCAACATCAATATAGGTCTTATTTTTAAAGGAGTTCATTTGCACATGATTTTCTAGCAGAATGTCAATATACGCATTTCATTTTAAAATTTGTAGCAGATAGTACTTTATTTTATTAAATTTTTATTTTTATTTTTATTCAAAGAAAAAAAAAAGATCATAATAATTAGTCCAATATAATAGAATACATTTTTTGGGAATAATAAATTATTTTAGAATATAAAGATATATAAATGATCCATTCCAAAAGAAGAAAAGAAAACACGAAAATTGATTCGAGATGATTCCATTGAGCAAAAACAAATTGCAAATCTTTTCAACTGTGTGATTTTGCAGGGAAGAAATCCAAAGGATTAAGGTTAGTAATCCAGATATCAGCCACAGGGAGGCTTTCAGCTCGGCAGCCAAAAACGTGAGTTTAAGCTAATTAATTACTACATTCATCAATATCATTGTGTCATTCTCACAAGTGCATGATAGTTTTTTTATCTTTTTCAAAAATAAAATAAAACTGGAGCCACTTGTGTCGGTTTACACAGCCTTGTCTCTTTTATAAACACTTTGCTGAGTCTGAAGGTAAAAATCCAATATTCCTATGGTTTTTGCAAGAAACTTACCTATAAAACCATCTTGAGCCATATATATATATTAAGGGTATAAGGGGAATCACATCCTTCAATTGGTTTCGGATCTTCTATTTTAAGTAATAGATGTCGATAAATACAAAACACGAAATTATATCATGCCATAGTTTGCACATATATAAATATATATAGAAGATGAGATGACAAAAATAAAATATAGCATATTTGGATTACAATTTGCAACTTACGCTTTAACATAAAAATAAAAAATAAAAAATTCAACGTTTTCCATTTCTACTTTTTTTTTTTTTGCTTTTTTACAAGCTACATTCCACTTTAATGGTGATTTGAGATCCAAAATCATGTTCAAACATCACACAATAAGGCTTTTTGTTAAATATACTGCTTATTATATATGGGTGACAATCGGTAAATATTACATACTAGGATTTGGGGTGTATATTTTTTTTATATGCAAAAGAAGTTTATTAATATTTAATAATGAGTACAAGGATACTCAAACCCACGTACATCAACTCAGAGTTTAGAACACATGTTAATACAAGACCACTTGGAAAAAGAACAAGAGACTTTCCTAACCAAAGGATTCGGGGCATGTATATCCGAAATTGCATGCTTTTGAAAATCAAGTTCTGAAGTTGTCCAAAAGAACTAGTTTTTCTATATACTAGATCGCATTAAGTTAGTTATGAAGGGATCTCTTTAGAGACATTAATAACTCTTACAGAAAAAGCGAGAATATCCAAATTCAAAACTCCCCCATCGTTAATTGATATTTGATTTAACAGATATTTAAATAAGGAATGTGTGTCTATATATATACATAACATTGCTATTTCTTCATTTTTTACTTACCGTTTCAATATCAGCATATATATATATATATATATATATATATATATATA